TGCAGCAGGGCCCCGCCCCCCCCAGGGGTGATTTCTCGCTTTCTGTCTGTCTCTGTCTGGCAGAGCCCTATAGCAAAAACCTCTCAAAAAAAAAAAAGGCCAAAAAGGGTCTTAATTGTTCTTTTCTTTCAGGCCAATTTCTGTCTTCCTTCTTTCCTCTTAATTTGCTCTAGGGCATGTGCGCTCACCAAAGAGATGCAGAGAGAGACAAAGAGTGAAATCAACCCTCCCCGAGTGAAATCAACCCTCCCCCCATTGGCCGTTGCCTCAGTCCCTTCTGCATCACCTGAGGGGTGATTTCTCGCTTTCTGTCCGTCAGTCCCTTCTGCATCGTTCTGGGATTTTGGACACACACGCACATACACGCCCAGGGTCATTTTCAAGCCATTGGGTCTAGGACTTGAACTGTGCTGTCGTCTATCCGGGATCCAGCCGCCTCCCCCCCTCCCCCCAGGCTAGCTCACTGTATATTTCTTTACAGTGGTAAAATACACATCACATGAAATTCACCATTTTAGTCATTTTTAAGTGTGTAGTTGAGTGGCATTACGTATATTCATATTGCATAACCATCACCACAGTTTCCAGAACTTTCCATCACCTCTGAAACGCTGTGCCCCTTAAACAATAACTCGTTTCCTCCTGTCCTCCAGTCCCACTCAACGTTCTGTCTCTTTCTTTGACTGCTCTCATAGAAGTGAACTCAAAAGTATTTTTTTTTAATTTTTAAAAAATTATTTAATTTTATTTATCATTATTATTTTTCTTTTTTTTGAGTTGCTATAGGGCGCATGCACTCACCAGACAGAGACAGACAGAGAGAGACAGAGAGACAGAAAGCAAGAAATCACCCCCTGGGGGGAATGGCCATGCCGCAATCCCTTCTCCTCCATTCTCCACTCGGGATCTTGGGCACGCACGCACACGCGCCCGGCATGAGTTTTAAGCCACCGGGGCCGGGACACAAACCACGGTTGACTACATGGGAATCCAGCGACATAGCCATTACGCTAACTGCTGGTCCCATCACTATTATTTTTCTTTAAATTTGCTGTAGGGTTTGTGTGTTCAACAGAGAGAGAAGGAAAGTGAGAAAGCAAGCCACCAGGTCCAAGACTCAAACTGTGGTTGGCCATGTGGGAGAGCCCTAACTGCCATGGCCTCCACTGGCCCACTTACGAAGTATTTATCCTTTCATGACTGACTTATGTCATTTAGTAACAATGTCCTCAAGGTCCATCCATGTGTGGCATTTGCCCAGATTTCCTTTTTTTTTTTTTAAGAGTTTTTTGCCTTATGGCACCTGGACTAGCTGGAGAAAGAGAGACAGAGACAGTGAGAGGGAAAGTGAGAAATTGCCCCTCGGGAGGATGGCCACCCCGTGATCCCTTCTCTGCCGTTCTCCTCCTGGGATCTTGGGCACGCACGCACATGTACCCAGCATGAGTTTCAAGCCACTGGGTCCAGGACTTGAACCGCAGTCAGCCATGTGGGAGCCTACCGAGATAACCTCTACACCATCTACTGGCCCCAAATTTCCTCTCTTTCAAAGCTGAATAACATTCCATTATATGTGTGTATCATGTTTTGTTTATCCATTTGTTTATTGGGGGACACTTGGGATGGCACCACCTCTTGCTATGGTGAATAAATAATATTGCTATGAACATTGATGTGCAAGTGTCTGAGTCCCTGCTTTCAATTATTTTAGGTATAGGCCTGAAAGAGTGAAACTGCTGGGACCAGCACGTGGCGTAACAGCCTTGTTGCTGGACTCCCATGTAGTCAACCACAGTTCAAGTCCCAGACCCAGTGGTTTAAACTCACGCCGGGCACATGTGCGTGCATGCCCAAGATCCCTAGAGGAGAATGGATTGTGGTGTGGCCATCCCCCCTGGAGGGTGATTTCTGACTTTCTGTCTCTCTGTCTCTGTCTTTTGGCGAGCATAAGCGCCCTATAGCAAAAACCTCTCCAGAAAAAATCAGTGAAACTACTGAATCAAATGTAACCTTTTTGTTTAACTTTTTGAGGAACCACAGAACTATTGTCCGCAGCAGTTGTACGCCTCTATGGTTCCCGCCAACAGTGCACAAGGGTTCCAATCTCTGCACATCCTTCTCAACACGTGGTTGTTTTCTTCTGTTTGTTTGTTGTGTTTATATTGTTTTGTTTTGTAATAACCATCCTAACTAATGGGTATGAGGTTGTATCTCATTGTGGTTTTGATTTGCACTTTCCTTTTTTTTTTGGTTTCCTTCAGGAATTACTTTATTTTTAATTTGACCAGAGCGGGACAGAGTGAAAGTGAGAAAGCCAGCGACCAGAGACTCGAATCGCGATCGACCATGTGGGAGTCCAGTACCCTTGACTACCACGCCACCTGCTGGGCCCGGTTTGCACTTCCTAATGAGTAGATAGTGAGCATCTTTTCCTGTTTATTGGCTTTTTGTGTATCTTTATTACAGAAATGTCGAAGTCCTGTGCCCATTATGTTTATTTATTTATTTATTTACTTATTTATAATTGCCAGAGGAAACATGTGTTCGCCAGAGAGAGCCAAAGACAGACAGAGAAAGGAAGACAGCGCCTCTAGTGGGGCATGGCCATGCCACAATCTCGTCTCCATTCCTCTGTCTTGTTGGGATATTGGGCTCGCACGCTGTGCCTGGTGCATTTTTCTACCTGCTGCCCGGAACTAGAACTGCTTTCAGCCATGTAGGATTTAGCTCCCTTAACCATGGGGCTGGCCCTATGCCTATACTTCACTATTTCACTATTTTGGGACATGGAATGTTAAGAATTTTCTAGATATTTAGATATCCATTCCTTACCAAATATATAATTTGCAAATATTTCTCCCATTCTATAGTTTGCCTTTTGACTGTTGAGAGTGTACTTTTTTTTTTTTTTTTTTGGGGAGGTTTTGGGCAATTTTTTTTTTTTTTTTTTTGGAGAGGTTTTGGCTACAGGGTGGGTGCGCTCGCCAGACAGAGAGACAGAGAGACAGAAAGTGAGAAATCACCCCCCAGGGGAGATGGCCATGCCACAATCCCTTCTCCTCCATTCTCCTCTTGGGATTTTGGGTATGCACGCACACACGCCTGGCGTATTTTAAGCCACCGGGTCCGGGATGCAAACCGTGGTCGACTACATGGGAGTTCAGCAACATACCCATTACGTTAACTGCTGGTCCCGAGATTGTACTTTGATACACAGAAGTTTTTAATTTTCATGAAGTCCAATTGGTCTATTTTTGTTGTTGTCTGCGCCTTTGGTGTTGTATCCAAAACATCATTGCCAACTATGCTGTTGTGAAGCATTTGCCCTGGGTTTTCGTCTTAGTTTAATAGTCTAGGGCCTCAGATTTATGTTTTTGATCTATTTCGAGTTAAATTTTGTAAGATGATGTCAAGTCAGGATCCATCTTCATTCTTTGGCCTGCAAATACCCAGTTTTTCCAGCACCATTCGCTGAAAAGACTGTTCTTTCCCCATCTTGGCCCCTGTGTTGTAAACCGCTTGACAACACATGTGACAGTTTATTTCTGGGCTTTCTATTCTATTTTATTGGTTTGTATGTGTATATTTATATCAGCCTTATAAATTCTGAAATCAGAAAAAGACCTCAAAATTTATGTATGTTTGGGTTTTTAAGAATTTTTTTTTGAGAGGTTTTTGCTATAGGGCTTATGCGCTCGCCAGACAGACAGAGAGAGACAGAGAGACAGAAAGCGAGAAATCACCCCCCAGGGGGGATGGCCACGCCTCAATCCCTTCTCCTCCACTCTCCTCTGGAGATCTTGGGCACGCACGCACATGCGCCCGGTGTGAGTTTAAGCCACTGGGTCCGGGACGCGAACTGCGGTTGACTACATGGGAGTCCAGCGACATAG